TCGAGATATGACGCTTCAAAGTTTCTATGAGAGACGCAGACAGTTAGATTGTCTGTGTCTCTTATCTCCTCACACTCTCTAGCTGCGAAACTTCAAATGCATGTAACTTGGCTGAAGCTAGTAACTTGATTTTCCCAGCCACAAGTTCCTCGGTCTTTGTATTTTTGGAAAATTTAATTTTTTCAAATATGTAGTGGCTGAAATATGGCACTCGAAAGTCCAAAGAACACTGATTCCCACAGGAAATCTAATTTTTGACCCTGTTGTACCGTTTTAAGGCTCTCTTCACATCATATCTGACAGTTTTAGTAATGGGACCGTAAAACAAAGTTGTATGTGACATGATGATCTGAAGACAGCCAGATGGTGAGAGTGTGCTAATAGAGAAACGCAGAGAAACCAGGTGGGAAGTGGGCGGAGTCGCATGACGCCTTGTGATGGTGTTGGTCCTCTTATTCAGTTGTAGGTGATCTCATTCTCATTCTCTTTTATTCTCTGTCATCAGCTAGACGATTGCATTATTGATTTTCTCGCTCCTAAATTATATTCCTGTCCTCTAGAACCTTCTAGAGTTTCTTCTTCTTTTTTCTGATCCATAATTTTTCCAGAGTCTATCATTCACCATGGCTAAGACTAAAGTCACTGCCCCTCAAAATACCCACGTCGAGAGCAAGGCTGATATCAAGAATCTCGGATTCCTTCTGTTGACTTTGGATTCTTCTTACATCGTTCGACGCTTTCTGATGGTCCTTGATGGCTGTGATGTATTCATCTCCAAGCAATTGGATCTTCTTCTTGATATCAGCCTTGCTCTCGACGTGGGTATTTTGAGGGGCAGTGACTTTAGTCTTAGCCATGGTGAATGATAGACTCTGGAAAAATTATGGATCAGAAAAAAGAAGAAGAAACTCTAGAAGGTTCTAGAGGACAGGAATATAATTTAGGAGCGAGAAAATCAATAATGCAATCGTCTAGCTGATGACAGAGAATAAAAGAGAATGAGAATGAGATCACCTACAACTGAATAAGAGGACCAACACCATCACAAGGCGTCATGCGACTCCGCCCACTTCCCACCTGGTTTCTCTGCGTTTCTCTATTAGCACACTCTCACCATCTGGCTGTCTTCAGATCATCATGTCACATACAACTTTGTTTTACGGTCCCATTATAAAACTGTCAGATATGATGTGAAGAGAGCCTTAAAACGGTACAACAGGGTCAAAAATTAGATTTCCTGTGGGAATCAGTGTTCTTTGGACTTTCGAGTGCCATATTTCAGCCACTACATATTTGAAAAAATTAAATTTTCCAAAAATACAAAGACCGAGGAACTTGTGGCTGGGAAAATCAAGTTACTAGCTTCAGCCAAGTTACATGCATTTGAAGTTTCGCAGCTAGAGAGTGTGAGGAGATAAGAGACACAGACAATCTAACTGTCTGCGTCTCTCATAGAAACTTTGAAGCGTCATATCTCGACTTCTATTCAAGCTAGAGAAGTGAAACTTGCACAGAAAGATGTGAAATTGCTCATCTTTTCTACTGGGAGTCGATTTTTAGACATAGTCTATACCTGGGGTTTGTGAAGAGCATAGCAATTGGACCTATCAAGATTTGTCATCAGATTCCCAATTGTCACAAAGTTAAATTCTTCTTAAATTCTTACAGTGTGGAAAGGTGATAGGCGCAGACAACAAGGTACTCTGCGTCTCTCACAAAAAAAACTTCGACAAATTTGAACAGCAGAAGCATTGAAAATCCAAGATTCCGAATCTGGGTCATAAGAAAAACTGTAGCTTTGATAAATTTTACGACCAGACGTTTCGTTGGTTCCGACGCCGTGTCCCTTTAAAAACTACTGTAGTTTTTGGAAATTAATTTCCACCTACAGTATCCCCTCCTACTGGACATGTTGAGTCCTTAGAATCCGCAATTTTATAATCAAATCGTTTTCCGATTTCACCTCTTCAATTTTAAAAACTGACATACCGTACTCCCGAATTCGTAGATCACCTACAGTAGTCATACCTATTTCAGTACCTATAGATATTCGCCTACCATACACCTCTCATCCTCATCACCGTATTTCACACACTCTTTGAAAGTAATATTCATGTTACTGTAGTTACCGTAATCCAGTGGTGTTCCATTCGAAATTATCATTGAGGGTAGATAAGAAGCAAAACAGGAGAATAGAAATAAAATAAGGAGAAGCATTTTTGTTTGAGAATACATTTTTCTTAGCAATGAATCAAAGCTGGGAAGGCATGTATTATTCGGGAGAAGCTATGGAAACAGAAAAATCGGAATCGGAAAAAAAATAGATGCCAAACTACACATATTATGACATTCGGAAATAAGAGGCAAAATCCAAATTCTCTTCTCAAATATTTAATTGCTTCAAATTGAAGATCTGAATATCAAGTTGGTGGCTGTCCACACATATATGCATTGAAACAAGTCAAGTTGTCCACTGTGTTCCTTAATTAATTATCATAATTATCGGTTAATTGGTTGATTATTCTTACGGAACGTCATCAATCCCAGAGCTACCATCTGGGTTATTCCTCCAAACCAAACAATCGTTGGAAATTCCATTCGGTTGATTTGGATTCCAAAGAAATCCTGTCGGGTTCTCAGAAAGGAATGGGTCGGTGAAGAAGAATGCCTACAAGGATTATTTTAAGATTTTTGAAATTTTCATATTTCAAAAAATAGGTAAAAGATTCATATCTTACACCGCCGCCAGCTTCTTTTCTTTTCTCTCGTCTTTGGAAATATAAAGAACAGACAAAGATAATCTTACATTGACCCCTTGACAGCTAGAATTCCCAATACATTCCGGTTTTCGAACTCCATCCAACCATACATTCGATTTGTTCGTATCATTGGCTCGCTCTGAATATCTATGATCTTCTGATACCTTAAAACTACCAACTTTTTACAAATTCAAATTCTTCTGGAGTCTCTAGTCCAGTTAGTGTTCTTCCCGGAGTTTTTTGACACAATGTAAGCGCCATCGAATGGTTATAACATAATGAGCCTTTTACCAACTGCAAAACTTTGTTTCGAGGATTACTATAGTCAGTGAGCTCATTACAACTAGACACCAGGGTCCTTTTTCTCTCAAGAACATTTTGAATCTTTCATTTAGACACATTCTAATAGCTGAAGAATTGAAAATCCAAGATTCCGAAATCGTGTCATACGAGATACTGTAGCTTTGGTAGATTTGACGACCCGATGTTTCATTGGTTTCGAAGTAGTGTCCCTTTAAAGATTACTGTAGTTTTAGGAAAAAAAATAATTTCTACCGTACCTCTCCGCCTACAGTATCCCCTCCTGGACATGTTGGGTTTTTTGAATCCGCAATTTTATAGCCAAATCGTTTTCCAATGTCATTGTTTCTTTTCACCGATGTTACCTCTCCAATTTCAAAAACTTGACATACCGTACTCCCGAATTCGTAGATCATCTACAGTAATCTGAAGGGTTACATTATCTACTGATATTACCCTACCATACACCTCTCATCCTCATTACAGTAGTCCAAACACTCCTCGAAAGTAAAATTGAGGTTACTGTAGATACCGTAATCCTGTGGCGAGCCATTTGAAGTTATCGTAAGAGGCGCATAAGAATTGAAAAGGGAAAATAGGAGTAAAATAAGGAGAAACATTTTTTCTGGTTTGGATTTTCGGAGAAATGAAAAAAGAGGGGGAAAAATATTCATGAAAACTATGGAAACAGAAAAATCGGAATCGGAAAAAAAGATGCCAAACTACATAAATTATTAATATTGAAATTTTGCTGTTTCAAACAACATTTTTTGGGATTACTGTCGTTCTACTGACACTTTTCCACACACGAACCCTCGGAACAATTGGGAATTCTGAATTTTTGGGCTAAATAATAGATTTTACAGTTTTGAAACTTGAAAATTCAAATTTGGCGCGTCCAGAGCTTCAAAATGAGCCCAAACACGACTAGGCTCCGCCCACTTTGGGACCCACTGCGAAAACTACAGTAACCCAAAATAAAAGGAACTAGGTCGTGTTTAGGCTTGTTTTGAAGCTCTTTTGACTTCAGATTCGAATTTCTGGTTTGTTTTCCAAAACATCCGGTGGATTTCCTATTTTTTTTCAAAATTTGAAATTTTCGAAAAAAAATTTTTTTTGAAAATGTTCAGAAATGTTTTTTTCGATTTTTTCCGATTTTTGAAAAGTCAAAAATCAAACTCCACTTTTTACAGTATCTTTTTTTCTTTGATTTTTCATGACAAAACACCCCAAAATTTCCAAATTTGCATAACAAAAAAAAAATTTTTTCGGACAATTTTTCTGAAACTTTTTTTTCAAAAATTTCGAAAAAAAATTCTATAAAACCTTCGATTTTTTGAAACTTTTCATTTTTTTTTCTCTTAAAAAAATATGAAAATTCTCCATTCCCTTATTATTCTAGCCTCCATTTTTTCGCTGGTCCAAGCCAGCATTTTCGACGCGCTCAACGAGTTTTATGACGGCTGGGGGGAGGTTAGTTTTGATTTTGGAGTTTTGAAACTTAAAAATCTGAGTTCAGGGCGTTGAGAGCTTCAAAACGAGTTCGAACACGACTAGGCTCCGCCCACTTCGAAGGTCCCGTCGCGAAAAATACAGTAATACCGAAATAGAGGGACCTAGTTCGTGTTTAGGCTCATTTTGAAGCTCTCAACGTGTCACACTTGGAAATTTGATTTTCAGAACAAACAACTGAAGTTTCAAAAAAAAATTGTCTCAAAACATTTTTTCGAAATTTCAAAAAACAATTTTTTGGAAATTTTCCAGTTTTTGTCATTTCTCGCTTAAAAATCTTTCTAATCGTTTGAGACCTGAATTTTCAAATTCAGCGTTTTTTGAGCTTCACAACGAGCCCAAACACGACTAGGCTCCGCCCACTTTGGAGGTCCCGCCGCGGAAACTACAGTAACCCCAAAGTAGAAGGAACTAGGTCGTGTTTGAGCTCGTTTTGAAGCTCTAAACGAATCGAGAATAGTGAAAATGATGGAAAGGTGGATAATCAACTGAATTTCAAATTTTTCACAAATTCCAAAAAAATATTTTTTTTTTTTAATTTCGATTTTTCTGGAAATTTCAAATTTTAATAAACAATTGATTTCCAGGAGCAATGTGTGCAAATCAACAATCGTCGTAGCCCCCAAGCCACGCCCCTTACAGCTCTGGAAATTCCATTCGGTGGATTTTTCGACGGATTTCTGGACTGTGAGCATCGAGCCAGCAATACAGAGAACTTCGGAATCGATGGATCGCCAAATTTGATTTATCGAATTTTTGGTTATTATGGGATTTTGAAGAGGAAAATTGTTTATTTGGGACAGAAATAATTTTTTTCAATTTCTTGTCAATTTTTCTGTTTCCAATGAATTTGTGAGCATTTTTCTTGAATTTTTCATAATTTTTAGTCAGTATTATCGAATTATGTGTGGAAAATGCCTGAAAATCGATCTGTTTTAGCTATAAATCGATCGAAAATCAATTTTAAACTAAAAACACATCTTGCTCGTCAGGCCTTGCGCACTGTACGCAATAGTCCGCAATGCACCATTGCCTACCGTAGCCAGGTGAAAAATCATTTTTTCAATGAATTTTCCGATTTAAAAATCGAACTTTAACAAGTTTTTCATGGATTTTTTTGTAAAAAAATAATGAAACAATTTTTAAAATCAATCTTACGCCTAGAAATTTCCAAAAATGCTTAAAAGTTCAATTTTTTCAGCAATTTCCAGGGATGACCGAAAAAACGCTAAATTCGGCGGAAATTCTCGAAAAATTGCTGTCCAAAAAGCTCGAAACTTCAGATTTCGAAAGAATTTTGAAGAATTTGGAGGAAAATAAAAGTAAAAATCCAAAAAAAAATTTTATTTAAAAAAATTCTTTCAGCCAAAAATCTATTTTCCGAAATTCTGAAATCATCGATCCATCAACTGCGTCGATACCAATCACAAATCGATTCACTTTCCGATGATCTATCGCATGCTAAAAAAATCAACAGCGCAAAAATGCGAAAAGTTTGGGAATTGGGTCGAAAAGGGCAAATTTTGGAGGCAAAAATGACAAATTCCAAGCGGGAAATGCTGAAAATGAGGAAATATGTAAAGGAAAATATTTATGATTGGGAGCAAAACGAAAAAATTGAGAAAAAACGGCTGAAAAAGGTCTTCGCGCCGAAAAATTCGAAAAAGTCCAATAGAGCGAATTTGCAGACCGCCAAACCGCCTCCAACCGATCCTTCGACGTCGGGACCAATTAATTATTCTGTGATTATCGATTTTCTCTGTATATTTATAAAAAAAATCAATTTTTTAGCCCAAACCACCATCGCCATTGAAAAACTACAGTAATCCATCGGAACCCTGCACATCTAACTCTTCTGTAATTTCTTCAGGACCCATAATTGTTGAGATTTTTGAATAATTTTTTTGCTATTTTTGTTGATTTTTCGTTGTTTTTTAAATAAATTTTTTTATTTGGAGTTTTTTCGGTCATCCTTGAAAATCTTTGAAAATTATCGATTTTTGAAGCTTTTTTTGCATATATTTGTTTTAAAATTAACTTTTATTGATTTTTTATCGATTTTTCACAAAAAAATTGGGAAAAATCGATGAAAAACGGTTGAAAATCAGTTTTAAAATCTGAAAATTTGTTGAGAAAAGATTTTTTGACCTGGCTACGGTAACCATTGGTGCACTGTATACTACTGCGTACAGTGCGCAAGACCTCACGAGCAAGAATAATTCTTAGGATAAAAGCGATTTCAAGCTAAATTAGATCGATTTTAAGGGTTTTTTTTTCACACAAAAATTAGAAAATCTGACAAAAAATAAGGAAAAATTTTTTTTAATGCTCAAAAATTCGTTGATAAAAGGAATTTCTGAGTTTATTGGTTCAAAAAAAATAATTTAAAATTTATTGTACACTGGGGCGCACACCACAAATGTAGCCAACAAAAGCGGTGGTAAGGGTATCGCTTATAGTGGAGCTGCATCTGAAATTTTTATTGCTTTTTTCCTCAAAATTCAAACTCAAAACCTTACGTATAATCATCCACACCCGTACTAGTACCATTGGCGGTTAGGAAAGGGAACTGAATGCAATTTGAGTTGTCTGATGAGATTCCACTTGGTTGGCGAGGTCCCCACACATATCCGTCGTAGGCAGAAAGGGTTGGATCAAAGAAAGTAAATTCCTGGAAATTTGGGTTTTTCAGATTTTCAGCATCATTTTGGTGTAAAAATCAAGTTTCTAGGAGATCTACGAGCCGAGATACGCTCATTTGAAGTTTGGCGGCTAGAGAGTGTGGAGAAGCGAGAGGGCGCAGACAACGAGACGCCCTGCGCCCTCCTCCTTCCGCACGCTCTCTCGCTACAAACTTCAAATATCTGTATCTCGGGTCCCTGGCATGCTAGAAAGTTGATTTTTGAACCAAGTTTTGTTATTTTTAAGGCTCTAGGTGAGAGACGCAGACAGTTAGAGTGCCCTCTCGCCTCCTCACACTCTCTAGGCTCCAAACTTCAAATCACTGTAACTCGGCTCAAAATGAAGCTAGAAACTTGAATTTCACATTGAAACGTTTCTTGGGCTTTGTATTTTGAGAAAATTTTAAACTCACATTCGTTCCATTACAGGAAGCACTTGTAACGGTTGATTTACACACCGCTTTGCGACTTCCATCAATCCAGAATCCCAGTGCCGCATAACTTCGAATAGTAGCAGAAAATCCAGCCAAAACGGGTTGAGCCATTTCTAAAACTTTTTTTCTAAAAATTTCCAGCACTTCCTGCTCACCAATGACCAGATTATATTCGTCAAGAGACTGAAGCCCGCTTAGAACTCCTCCGTAGAGAGCAGAGCAAGCAGTAGATGCATAGGTTTGAGTTATTGCATTAGACGCTGGGATAACCTTAAAAATTCTAGATTATTTGTTACGATCTAAAAATTTGAAACTTCTTAGACATTTTCGTTTGAAAATCAAGTTTCTAGCACGTCTAGAAGCCGAGATACAGCGATTTGAAGTTTGAGGCGAGAGAGCATGCGGAACGAGGAGGGCGCGGGACGTCTCGTTGTCTGCGCCCTCCCGTTTTCCCACACTCTATAGCCACAAAACTTCAAATCACTGCAACTTGGCTCAAAATAGTCCTAGAAACGTTATTTTTGAAGCTAAATTATTCTAAGATTTTCAAAATTTTATTAAAACTCACCCCAATACACCACTGTCCTAGTGGCCGTTCCACCAAGGTGAAGTTGGTTGGGCATGCGAGAGTGGTAAATTTCCAGATTCCATTTGAGTAGGTGGTGTTGTATGGTCCAACAACAGTTGCTGTCTGGAGAAAAAATCAGGTTTCTAGGATGTCTGGGAGCCAAGATACAGCGCCTTGAAGTTTGAAGAGACGCAGATAGTTAGAGAGTCTTACTGTCTGCGTCTCTATAAAATTTTGAAATTCCTAGCTTGCTTAGGAGCCGAGATATAGCGCTTTAACGTTTTCTATAAGAAACGCAGACAGTTAGAGACGCAAGATGTCTGCGCTCTCTTGCCTCTCCACAATCTTGACCCTCGAAACTTCAATTAGCTGTAACTCGGCTCAAAATGAAGCTAGAAACTTGGTTTTTTACCAAAATATTATTTAAATTGTACTTATTCAGAAACTGTTTTAAAATATAGGATTTCGCTTGCTAAAAATCAGAAAACGCCTTCCAAAAGTTTTTCGTATTTTCTAATGATGTTATTTTGTTTGAAAACCGGAAAATATAAAAATTTCACACATTTCTGATCAAGTTTCACTTTTCTAGCTTGCCTGGGAGCTGAGATATAGCGCTTTACAGTTTAGAGGAGACGCAGACAGTTAGAGCTGTTTAGATGTCTGCGCTCACTCACTTCCCCACACTCTCTAGCCGCCAAACTTCAATTGCGCGTATCTCAGCTTATAGACATCCTAGAAACTTGCTTTTTGAACTAGTAGGTGTCTGAAAATCCATATTTAAAGATAATTTGTTTTAAAAGAAACTGCTAGTCCGCGTTTTATGTAAAAAGAGAGCTCAAAATGAAGCTTGAAAAGCAGGCTTACCGTAACCGAATTCTCCGACGCTGCGTCTGGACAAGTACCACTGCCTGTCAGATTCATCTGAAATTTCAAATTTTAAAAATAATTTTAATCCATCTCCAGACCTTCATAGCCACTTTCGGCCCGCTAGTGGCCTCCTGTACACTCGAAATTTGTCCGTAATCGAAAATCTGACAAGTCCCATTTCCATTATCCTGCACAACCTACACATCAAACTATTTTGACTACTGTATGCTCTTTTAAAGGCGCATACCATACAAGCGGGCATTTCCAAACAGTAGTCCATACAATCGCTAAAGTTGAAATTCATTGTTGTAGATGTGGTATAAGATACGGGGGTTCCGAAAATTGAGATCATTTTTTCTGTGTCTTGAGTCTGAAATGTTGATGTGGGTGGAGCGAAATATACAGTAATCCTTACAGTAATCCCAATGAGTACTAATAACAAAAGAAGAGGCATTTGAGGTCGGGGAAAATAAGAAAATGTGACTTTTAAAATTTTTAGGGGGCGCCGAAGTCTTCCGAAACGTTTTTCGGCATGGCAACACCGCATAATGAGCTCCGAAAACATGAGCCAAAATATGATGTTGAATATTTTATTTTGCTATGGATGTTTGTCTAGCGGACTTTTTTTTTCGGGAAAGTTCCAAAAAAAAATCAACTTGACCAATATAGTCGAGAAAGGAAAAACACGAATTTTCTAACACGAATTTTGAAGTGTCATATTAAAGATTTTCTGAAAATATAGAATTCGAGAAATTTTTCGATCGAAAAATCAAGTTTCTAACTTCATTTTGAGCGAAGTTACAAGCCTTTGAAGTTTGACAACTAGACAGCGGGAGAAGATTAGAGACGCAGACAACAAGACACTCAAACCGTCTGCGTCTCCTCTAAACTTTAAATCTCTATATCTCAGCTCCCTGACAAGCTAGAAAAATTAAAATTAATCAGAAATGTGCCTAATTTTTCAGATTTCCAGATTTCAGAACAAAATCAGATAAAAGAAGACTTTGGCCGTCATATTTTGGCTTTTTGCAGGCAGCACTCAAATTTTGAGAACACCTTTTGAAAAAGCACATTTCGAAAAACATTCTGGTGAAAACATCAAGTCTCTAGCTTCATTTTGAGCCAAGTTACAAGCTTCTGAAGTTAGACAACAAGACAGTGTAGAAAAGTGAGAGAGAGTGCAGACGACGAGACACTCTGCGTCTCTCACCTGAAACTTTAGAGCGTCGTATCTCGGCTTTTAGTAGCCCTAGAGAGCTGATTTTTGGACCAAAATATAGGCAAGACTATGGATTTTGAGATTAGTTATTAATTTATGTAACTTTTTGAACGAGAAAATACAAAGAAAATGAGATTTGAAATTGAGGAGAGTGTGAGAATCAATCAGAGAATATTCGAAGTTGATAACAAGATAAGAAACGAGGAATTTTAGTATAGAAGTCACTCGCGCCACTTCCACTGGCCATCCTCTTGATAAGCTTCTCCGGAACACATGGCCTCAAACTTCCAGCACGCTTCAGCCTCTTCCATCGCATCTTTCGCCGATTCCTCGACCTTCAACGCCTTCTTCAATTGCTTCTGAATCTTCTTGTGTGCCTCTTCCTTCTCCTGAATCTTTTTTTGGAATACTGGCTTCGGCTTCTGAATCTTCCGCTTCTGGTGCATCTGATGAAGAGCCTTTAATCTCTGAATCTTCTTCTCGGATTCCTTCTGTTGACTTTACACCTGGTTTTATGGACCCATCTAAAACTGTGATGCGATGTGAAGAGGATCTTAAAACAGTTAATTCGTTGTGCGAATCGGAATTCTCCCTTTGGAGTGCCATATCTCCGCTAATTAGTTTTTAAAAGATTGAAATTTTAAGTTGACTACAAATACAAAATTCAAAGCACTTTTTGAACTCAAAACCAAGTTTCTAGCTTCATTTTAAGCCAAATTACATGCATTTGAAGTTGCGCAGCTAGAGAGGGCAGGGAAACGAGAGGGCGCAGGCAATAGGGCAAACGAACTGTCTGCGTCTCTCACAAAAACTTGGAGGTGTTATATCTCGTCTTCTAGTAATCCCACAAAGATGAAAGTTGTACAGAAGTTGCGAATTTTTTATATTTTCCATTTGAGGTGTATTTGAAGTCTCTGATTTCCCTAAAACGACACAACATTTTTTCCTAAAGTGTGACACAAAATGAACCTAAAACTTAAACCCTTGTACAGTGCGTACCATAATTATTAGGGTTCAAGTTTTAAATTCATTTTGTGTCAAACTTTAGGAAAATGTTGTGTCATTTTAGACAAATCAGAGACCTCGAATCCACCTCAAATGGAAAATATCAAAAATTTCACGACTTCTGTACAAGTTTCGTTTTTCTAGGATTACTAGAAGGCGAGATATAACTTCTCAAAGTTTTTGTGAGAGACGCAGACAGTTAGATTGTCCTATTGCCTGCGCCCTCTTGTTTCCCTGCGCTCTCTAGCTGCAAATCTTCATATGCCTGTAACTCGCCTCAGAATGAAGCTAAAAAGTTGATTTTTCTATAAAAAATGTTTCTCGGAATTTGTATTTTCAGGCGATTTCCAGTTTTTCTGATTCACAATGTTTTTTAACCCAGTTATGTGTAGTATTGTATTAGGGCTCTCTTCACATCGTATCACAGTTTTAGATGGGTCCATAAAACCAGGTGTATCCTATGTAATGACATGATAATGTAAAGACGCAGAGAAAAAAGATGGGGAGGTGGGCGGAGTCTCTCAAGACACCTTGTGATGGTGGGGGTCTATCTCATTCTCTCTTATTCTGTGTCATTAGCAAGATGATACTGTTTTATTTGCTTTTTCCTCTCCTTAACTATGTTCCTGGCTTCTAGAACCTTCTCTTGACGTCTTGTGATGCTTATAGTTCTCATATTCAGTTGGGATCTCATTCTCTTTCATTTTCTGTCAACAGCTAGCCGGTTTTATTTTATGGGGTTATTCAGTGAGAAGCAATTCAGCAAATTGCTGGTTTTTTCCTTATGCAGAAAGCAGGAAAACCAGCAATTTTGCTGGGGCCGCGGAATCGAGATTTCTAGGTCATGTGAACTCGTCCTTCCCGAGGAGTCCAGGAAAAAAGTCGGAGCGAGACTCAACCGGGAAAGTCGTTGCGCCTTTAATCTTGTGGCGATTTACGGGGAAATGTTTTTGCCGTGTACTCCACGAGGAGGAGGACGAGTTCACATGGCCTAGAAAACTCCAGCAATCTTGCTTCCGCGGCCCAGCAAAACTGCTGGTTTTTCTGCTTTCTGCATAAGGAAAAAACCAGCAATTTGCTGAATTGCTTCTCACTGAATAACCCCATTATTGATTTTTCCGCTTCTGAATTATATTACTGACTTCTAGAAACTTCTAGATTCTATTAAATTTTTTTGAATCGGCGGATGATGCGATGGAAGAGCCTGAAGCGTCCTGGAAGTTCGAGGCCATGTGTTCAGGAGAAGCTTATCAAGAGGATGGCCAGTGGAAGTGGCGGGAGTGATCTGTCTAAACCCATTGTTCCTTATCTTTTAATCAATTTCGAATATTTTCTGATTGTTTTCCTTCCTTTCCTCAATTTAAAATCTCTTTTTCTTGTATTTTCCTATCCAAAAGGATAAATAAATAAATAATCTCTCAAAATCCACAATCTTGCATACATATTGGTCCAAAAATCAGCTCTCTAGGGCTACTACAAGCCGAGATATGACGCTTCAAAGTTTCACGTGAGAGACGCAGAGTGTCTCGTCGTCTGCGCCCTCTCAGTGACCGAAATATGACACTCGAAAGTCCAAAGAACACTGATTCCCACAGGAAATCTAATTTTTGACTGTAATGCTCTCTTCACATCATATCAGTTTTAGTAATGGGATCATAAAACCGGGCGGTATGTGACATGATGATCTGAAGGCTGCCAGATGATGAGATAGTGCGATCATAGAGAGACGCAGAGAAACCAGGTGGGAAGTGGGCGGAGTCTCGTCCTGTGGGGATGGTGATCCTCATATTCAGTTGTATTCATTAGTCTTGTGAAATCATTTTCTTGTATCCTCTGTTATTAGCCAGGCGATCTTATTTTATTGATTATTCCGCTCCTGAACATTTTTTACCTTTTAGATCCTTTTCTGCTCTGTTGAAATCCTTTATTTTTCAGAATCACCCATCACCATGGCTAAGACTAAGGTCACTGTCCCAAAAAATACCCACGTCGAGAGCAAAGCTGACATCAAAAAGAAGATCCAAATGCTTGGAGATGAATACATCACAGCCATGAAGGCTCATCAGAAGGCGTCGGAGGATGTGAAAACACTCCAACAACAAAAAGAGGCCATGGAGAAGAGGATTCAGCGAATGACAGCACTTCATCAGATGCATCAGAAGCCGAAGATTCAGAAGCCGAAGCCAGCATTCCAAAAAAAGAATCAGGAGAAGGAAGAGGCACTCAAGAGGATTCAGAAGCAATTGAAGAAGGTGTTGAAGGTCGAGGAGTCGGCGAAATATGAGATGGAAGAGGCTGAAGCGTCCTGGAAGTTTGAGGCCATGTGTTCCGGAGAAGCTTACCAAGAGGACGGCCAGTGGAAGTGGCGGGAGTGATCTGTCTAAACCCATTTTTCTTGTCCTTTATCTTTTAATCAATTTCGAATATTTTCTGATTGTTTTCCTTCCTTTCCTCAATTTAAAATCTCTTTTTCTTGTATTTTCCTATCTAAAAAAAATCAATAAACAAATAACCTCTTAAAATCCACAATCTTGCCTACATTTTGGTCCAAAAATCAGCTCTCTAGGGCTACTACAAGCCGAGATATGACGCTTCAAAGTTTCACGTGAGAGACGCAGAGTGTCTCGTCGTCTGCGCTCTCCAATTGCTTTGTCTGCGTTCTCTTCTCTCTTGCAAAATCCAAAATTCAACAATCATAATGCAAAATGCAACAATTATGATAATTATGTTAATTAGCCCCTTTATAAACCACACCACCCCCTTCCATTTTCATTATTTCCATAGCTATGAAACAGTTTTTCCTATTGCTAATCTCTGTTACAGTAATCCATGGATGTCTACGCGTTCGCAGTCCAGAGCCACGTGAGTTAATCCTATCTACAGTAACCCAAAATGATTTTCAGCAAAATGTGAATGCCCCTCTCTGGCGATAGACCAACAAGAGACTTTTGAAATTGAAACTCATAATTTTTATCAAAATATCTCAAATCAGGCATTGGAACCCCCAACTATTGTCTTGGAGGATTGCTCCATATTGATGTATTGTGATCCTGAATTTAGTTTGGTTGTTTTTGATACAGAAGATGCGGTTATGGTAAGAAGATTTTTTTAGAACTACAGTAATCCAAAAAAAACGAATCATTTTGGTCAGAAATTCAAGTTTCTAGCACTATTTTGAGTCGAGTTACAGAGATTTGAAGTTTGGTGGCTAGAGAGTGTGGGGAAGCGGGAGGGCGCAGACACTCAAATTGTCGGCGCCCCCCTCCTTCTGCATGCTCTCTTTCCGAAAACTTTAGAAGACTGTATCTCGGCTCCTGGACAAGCTAGAGAAGTGAATGTTGAATAGGAATGTGCCGAAACTTTTAGATTTTATAGATTTTTTAGCAACATGACGGTTGAAAAAGTTTAAGCAGTCATAGTTTGGTTCCTAGCTACTGAAATTAAAAATACTGTGTGGCTTTCTTTTTAAAAAAACTTTTTGAGAATCAATTTGGTCCAAAAACCAAGTTCCTAACACAACTTTGAGCCGAGATACAGCGATTTGAAGTTTTGTGGCTAAAGAGTGTGAGGAGGCGAGAGGGCGCAGACACCATAACCGTCTGCGTCCTCCCCCGCCCCCACACTCTCTCGGCTGAAAACTTCAAAGCGCTGTAACTTGGCTGTCTGACGTCCCAGAAACCTAATCTAAAAACTGAATTGTGTGAAATTTTTCTATTTTTTGTTTTTTTCTATTTGCAGTTCGGTGAATATGGAATTGATGGAATGTGCGATCCGTACACTCAAACTTGGATGGAAGATGATGGCACACAACTTCGGACATTTAACAGATTGTATGGAGCATGTGTGGGTTACGGTAGGTCGGACATTTTAAATAATTCATCTACAACCAACTTTTCAGGAAAATGTCTGTGCTATAGTGCCACTATAAACGAGGAAAACTTTGATGTCATACTAGGAAATCATCCTTTCAAGGAAAATATATCTGGTTATGCAATTAAGGATCCATACATGAACGTAGAAGATTGCTCAGTGTCATTTGGTTGTGATGAAGGCTATAGTTTGGTCATGTTTAATTCGAATGAAGCGGTTATGGTAAGTTTGGTGGCCTAGAAAACCAATTTCTGAGAAAACTAGGCCAAATTAACTATTTGTTTGTTAGATTCGTTTCACTGAGTTCAATCCAGTTTTTAGATTTGAAAAATCTCAATTTTAAGACAAGTTATGATCATTTGAAGTTGGTGGCCTAGAAATCCAAAATTTGAGATACCTAGGCCAGGTTTATTATAATATTGTTACATTTGTTTTCTTAAGTCTAAACCAGTTTTCAAATTTCAAAAATCTCAATTTTGAAGCGAGTTACAAAGGGGGACTAGGATTTTCAATTTCTAGGCCACTGGTTACAAATGGCTGTAACTTGCTTCAAAATTGAGATTTTTGAGTTCTGAAAAATGCATTAGATTGGGGAGAAAAATTGAAGTCGAGTGATGGAAAATATGGCTTAGCTTTCCAAAAATTTGGATTTCGAGGCCACCAATTTGAAGTGGACGTAACTCGGCTCAAAACTCAGTTTTTTTTGTAAATTGAAAATGTTTTGAAAATTGTAATTTCGTCGGAATATAACAAAACTAGATTTTAAAGTGATCAAATTTAGGTGAAAGTGAACATTTTAATTAGGTGGCCTAGAAATTCGGTTTTATAGGCCACCTTAAAAGTTGGATTTTGGAAAATAGATGTTTTGAGAATGATTTTGGTTTAAAAACCAGGTTCTCACGATGCCTGTGAGCCGAGAAACAGTGCCTTGAAGTTTTGAGGCGAGAGAGTGTGGGGAATCGAGAGAGTGCAGACATCTAGACTGTCTGCGTCTCCCGCCTCCCCACATTCTCTAGCTGTCAAACTTTAAGGAACCGTATCTCAGCTCAAAATGATCCTAGGAAGCTCATTTTTTACAAGTTTGTTGGGAGAGTATGAATAGGTGAGAGACGCATAGTGTCTCGTCGTCTGCGTCTCTTGCCTAACAACACTCTCCAGTCGCCAAACTTCAAATCGCTGTATCTCGGCTCTCCGGCGTCCTAGAAGCTTGATCTAAAAACTAATTAGTGTGAAATTTACCTTTTTTTTTTAATTTTGAAAATCAAATTCATTTTTTGAAAAAAATTCGAAAACTAAAGTTTCCAGTTCGGCGAGTATCCGGCCGACGGATTTTGCGATCCAACCAGCCAAACATGGCAAGTGGCCGATGAAACTGGCAGCTTGAGAATCTTTGACAAACTTTATGGAGCTTGTGTGGATTACGGTAGGTTCTGTATACTGTAGTACTGTACCCAATGATTTTTTGTTCAGAAACCCCAGCGGCGACTGAACCTCCACAATGTGAGTATTCCGGATTTATTTTCAATTTTTTTGAATTGTTTTTCAGTAACCTGCCCATGCGCCTATATGGATATCGTCACTAGCAACGCCAAAGAATATATCGGCCATTTCGATTTGTATCTCAAAAATCTGTCGCATTACGATTTAGTCACACCGGAAGAATTTATTTTTAGCATTAGGGAAAACGGATGTGTTGCTAATTATCGCTGTCCAGCCGGAACTAGCAGATATTTTTTCTGGATTTCTATCAATTCGAAGCAAAACCATCGGATATTGACTTTTTTGAAATGCGCTGTGAATCTAATCATAGATGGTACGTTATGCCGTATGACGAACTTTTGGATTTCATGCCGGATTTCGTAATGCCGGTTTGCGTGAATTTTTGTGAGTTTTTGCTATTCTCTAAAACAGTACATTTTGAGAATCATTTTGGTTTAAAAACAAAGTCTCTAGAACGCCTAGGAGCTGAGATACGGTAGTTTGAAGTTTGATTTTAAAATAGGAAATTTCTTACTTTACCGCTTAAGGGATAGTTCAAGCCAATTTCTCAAAATTTTTGAATGTTAAATTGGCTCAAAATTGAAATTAACAAAATCTAAGAAAGTTATCAAAAATATGGATTTTTAGAAACAAATTAGTTCAAAAATCAAGTTTCTAGGACGCCTATGAGCCGAGATACGGGCTTCAGAAGCTTAGGGACTAGAGAGTGCGGGGAGGCAAGAGAGTGCAGACGGCTAGACTGTCTGCGTCTCTCACAGAAACTTGAAACGTTCATATCTCAGCTCCCAGAGCACCTAGAAACCTGATTATTTCACCAAAACTACACATTTTTCCAGCTACTCCTCTGCCAAACCCAGATCCTCCAACTTCTCCAATGTGTAGCTGCGACAACTACATGCTTCGAGCTTCACTCGACAGAACAACACTGATGAACAATTTTGAAGTAAAATCTACAGTATCCGACGATCATTGTCATTGGGAAATCAGTTGTAAGAATGAGGCACATGCGGTTGTGGAGGTTTATGGGCAGAAGTATTTTGTGAGTTTTGAAAACGACAATTTATCTCGGTTACTGTAAAAGATATCGAAAAGTAGTTGATTGATAAAATGTGTATCACTTTATCAGTAATATTTTGTCAGTTGACCGATTCTTGATATCTTTTACAGGGACCGAGATATATGGGCTCGAAGTTGAGGGGGCGCACCGTTACCGGCTCAACTACGCGGTATTACTTTGATCTCAATTATCTCGATTACTGTAAGAGATATTAATGAGTGATCAACTGATGAAATGTTTATCACATCATCAATTATATTTTGATAGTTGATCGTTTTTCGAGAGCTTTCACCGAAACCGAGATATTTGAGCTCACAGTTGAGATATCTTATATTGTACTCCTTTCCAGAGCCAAAGTCTCGACGCAAAATGCTCACCGGACAGCTTCAGGTGGAATATTCAAAACTCGAACGGTGGCAGTTGGTCTGGAATCGAAATTTTCAATTTCGGATGTACAAAACAAGTTCCAAATGCTGTTACAACTCAAAAACGTAATTTTTCCAAAACTACAACTTGAAAATAAGTTTTAAACAATCAAAATCTGAATGAACACATTTTTTGGAACGTTTTGGTCCAAGAACCAAGTTTCTAGGACGTCTACAAGCTGAGATATGCCCATTTGAATTTCGAGGGTTAGAGAGTGTCGGGAGAGGAGAGAGTGCAGACGATCAGACTGTCTGCGTCTCTTACAGGAACTTTGGGGCGTTATATCTCGGCTTCTAGCTACCCTAAAGAGCTGAAACGTGTACAGAAAATCGTGAAATTTTCTGTATTTTTTATCGGAGGTAGACTTGAAACAATTTTGTATTTAGATCGAAAATAGACTTCAAATTAAAATTAGCAGTTTGTTTTAAGGCAAACTATCAAGAAATATGAATTTTTTGAAACACATTAAGTCAGAAACCAAGTTTCCATGACTATTACTCTTGTCCGAAATCAATGCAAGTTGCGGCCGAGAAAACAATGGTGGGCGGAGCTTAGCTCTCACAGAGAGAACTCTACTGTATTTTTCAAATTATTGCACGCGCCTTTAATACAGTACCTCAACATTTATTTTTGCCTTTTTCTTTTATTTTTCACTTGTTTCTGTCTGATTTTGTGTAATTCTTATAAATCTTTAATTATTTTACTTATACTTACCAAATAGGGCCCAAAATAAAAAAAAACGTCCGAGGTACGGTATTTAAAGGCGCATGCATCCATTTGTTGTTTTCGCTGTGCGACCGACGATGCGATTTTAAGTAAATTTTCGGCCGCAACGTGCATTGATTTCGGACGAGAGTAATACTATAAGCTGATACGCCATTGTGAATTTTAGTGGCTAGAAAGTACGCGTAGGCGAGAGGGTGCAGACGACCAGACTGTCAACGTCTCTCGCTTCCCCACACTCTCTAGCCCTCAAACTTCAAATGCCCGTAACTCAGCTCAGAATGCTCCTAGGAAGCTAGTTTTTTCACCAGATTTGCTTGAAAATTTTTCAAATTTTTTCAGCCAGCGGAACTCCGGCCCCGTGTTTTTGTCTACAGATAGATTTTGATTCTTCGAATGCCGATCAGTTTATCGGTACATATGATTTCTACTTGTACAACATTTCAAGATACGCCCTGTACAAACCCTTTCTCTTGTATCCTGGTGGTAGAGTATCAGGGTGTCCCATGAGTTTTCAGTGTCCTGAGGGAGAGGTGCAAATATTAACGACAAGTGAAAGGAGTTATGAAGTGAGCAGCTTGAAAAAAAGCCAAAAATTAAAGATTTTCATTAATTTTTTTTTGTAGGTACGTGCCGTCGAAATGTTTTGTGTTGATGAAATGTGGACAGTGATTGACGGATCTGATGTGACACAACTGACTCGATCCGTATACATGACATGCGCTTATTTTTGTGAGCTTTTTGGTTTCAAAATTTTAAATCTCTATACATATTCTAAAAAATGACATTCCAAGGATCATTTTGGTGAAAGAACCAAGTTTCTATGACGTACAAAGGCTGAGATACGGCCATTTTTCAGCGAACTGCAAAAAAATTTTTAGACTTTTTTTTTTAATTTTCAAAAATATGAAAATTTCACACCAGTTAGTTTTTAGATCAGACTTCTAGGACGCCAGAGAGCTGAGTTACAGCACTATCAAGTNTGCGGCGAGAGAGCAGAGGAGGCCGCAGACAGTTAGAGTGTCTGCGCCCTCTTGTCTTCCCACACTCACTAGCCGTCAAACTTCAAATCAACGTATCTCGGCTTAGAATTGTGCTAGAAATTTGGTTTTTAGGCCAAAATGTTTGTCGCATTTTATATTTTTAGACTTGCAAAAGTCCAATTATTGCACCTAAAACAAAAGTCAAAAATTTGAAAATCAAAAAATCGGAGCAGTTTTAATGTGACAATAAAGGAAACTTTATTGAAAATCACATTTTTCCGTTAAAAATTCAGTTGTCTAGCACGTCAGGGACCCAAGTTACACCCCTTTCAAGTTTGCGACGAGAGGGCATGGAAAGGAGGAGGGCGCAGGGCGTCTCGTTNNGTNCTGCGCCCTCTCGCTTTCACACACTCTCTAGCCACTAAACTTCAAATGAGCGTATCTCAGCTTAGAATTGTGCTAGAAACTTGGTATTTGGATCAAAATTCTTAAAAAATCTATTTAAATTTCATCATAACCACTTTTTCCAGCAACACCTTCCACAAAAAATCTTCCACCGCTGGAAACCATGTGCAACTGCCCTCATAAAATGAGGCCAAACTATTTAATCCCCGACAACAGAATTTTAGAACCCAATTTTTTTATTACGTCGACTATAAGCAATGACCGGTGTGTGTGGGAGATCCAGTGTGGTTACCCAACAAATCTCAAATTTAACGCCAACGGACAGGAGTTTTCTGTGAGTGTTTTTTTAATCTCGCTATCAGAAAAAAAACGCACTTTGTTAGATGCATTTTGGTTCAAAAATCAAGTTTCTAGGATGATTCTGAGCTAATTGTAAGATGCGGTCGTTTAAAGGGGGACTCCGACCAAAAATTTTTATTGCATTAAAATGTGTTAAAATCTATCTATTTTTCAAATATTATAAAAAATTCAAAGAAAATCCGAAATCCCCGAAAAACGGCGTTGAAAAGGAAGAAAATTCAAAAAAAGGTGCCGCCGGGGGACGAGGATTTTCAGTGAGAAACCTAGGCCACGGCACCTGACAGCCTTTTTTTCAAGTTGCCGACAGTGGTTTTTTACGTTTTTTACCTGCCGGACATGAAATTGAAAAAAATCCGGAAAATTTGCCACGTAGAAAAGGCGCCCGCTGCCGTGGCCTAGGTTTCTCACTGAAAATCCTCGTCCCCCGGCGGCACCTTTTTTTGAATTTTCTTCCTTTTCAACGCCGTTTTTCGGTGATTTCGGATTTTCTTTGAATTTTTTCGCAATAATATTCGAAAAATAGATAAATTTTAACACATTTTAATGGAATAAAAATTTCTGGTCGGGGTCCCCCCCTTTAAAAGTTTGGCTGCTAGAGAGTGTAGGGATGCGAGAGGGGGCAGACGGCTAGACTTTCTGCGTCTCTCCAAAAATTTCAAAGCGCTGTATCTCAACTCCCAGAAGTCCTAGAAAGATGAAAGTTGGACAGAAAGTTGATAAATGCTCTGTTATTTCATTAAAACCAAAATTAATGAAATCTAGACACTAAGATTGAAAATTGTCCGAAAATCAAAGTTGGCAGATTATCTTAAAGCAGATAATCAAAAAATATGGGTTTTTAGAAACTCATTAGTTCAAAAACCAATTTTCTAGAACGTCTACAAGCCAAGATATGCCAATTTTAAGTTTGGTGACTAGAAAGCACAGAGAAGGGAGAGAGCTCAGACAACGAGACAGTGCTCTAACTGTCTGCGTCTCCCCTGAAAATTTAAAGCGCTGTATCTCGGCTCCTAAAACACCTAGAAGCCTGGTTCTTTGATCAAAATGGTTTTTGATTTTCCTTTTTCTCAGGGTTCGTGGAGTATTGGAATTTGTGATAAATCGACAAACAAATGGGACATATTCTACCAAAAACGTCTAACAAATTATACATTAAATGCTATGCCGAATTTTGATTTTATGTGTGATTATAATTGAACTTGAAAAATAAAAAGTTGAACTTCGCATCATATTGTTTTTTGAAACTCAAAAATGTCAATTTTGAAGCGAGTTACAATCATTTTTATGTGATGGCCTAGAATTTTCAATTTCTAGGCCACTGGTTACAAACTGTTATAACTTGCTTCAAAATTGACATTTTTGAATTTTAAAAACTGGAATAGAACCAGCAAAAAAAATTCAATCTAGTGATATTAACTTTGACCAAGTTTTCAAAAAGGGGACATATTCTACCAAAGAGGTCCAACAAATTATATACATTGAATGCGGAGCCAAGTTACGATTTCATGTGTTTTCTTGATTGATCATACTATGAATAATAAATACTTGAATTTCGCAAAATATTCTTTCTTTTGTGCTGAATAAAATGCAATTTTTCAACTCAAAATAGTCAATTTTAAAGGGATTTACACTCATATTAAAGTTAGTGGCCTAGAAAACCAAATAAAGCAAAAACTCGGCCACTGTTCATTCTAAGTTGTTAAGCATGTTTAGCTCAAGCTATTACAGTTT